ACGACGCAGCCTCGCAACTTGAACATGCCACGCGTTGAGAGCTATTGGGGCCGAACGCATGAGGGGCGCAGCACAGAGAGACAAGGCGCTTTTCAGCCACGGGCCGCCCCGCTCAGCGAGCTGGGGCCATTCACCATGCTCCATGCTGCTGATCGGTGCATGCCAGAGTCGGGCAAACAGATGCCGCCCAGATGCCGCGAGCTGCCTCGGAGCCGGAAACAGATGGGCTCTGCGCCCCAGCGCGGGCTGCCAACGCTCGAGAGGGCGAGAAGCACTCTTCGAGACGGGAGCGCCTGCAGCAGCTGTCAAAATCGAACTTTCTTTCAGTTTGGCCAAGGGGCCCGCCCAATGCTCGCGCGGGGTGCTGCCTGGTCCAAGACGGGCGCCTAAGTGCGGCAGGCTGAAAACGATTTCAAATTCGTTCCAAGCCGATTCAGCCCCAGAGAGGACCGAGCGCAACGCCTCCGCAGTGCCAGGATCCGAGATCGGAGCTCCGAGAGGAGCTGCTAGAAAGCTCGGCACCTCCAGGGTTAAACTTGCCAGTGGCGATGCAAGACGAACCGCCCGAGCCAGCGCGGATCACCCCCTCGACCGCCGAATCGCCGCCCCCGCATCGTCAGCGCAGGCTCGGGTGCATCCTCGTCGCTCGCGTTCGATGGTATGACGCGCGTCGTCTAAAAATGGATTGACAGCGGGCGCGAATGGCTGGCCCGAGAGCGGGCGGCCCTGGAGGGCCCAAGAGAACATCGAATACGTCGGGCGAAGCACATGATCAATCTCGCCGTAGCAGGGACTGGCTGCATAGGAGACCTCGATCGCGAGGGTGAATCCGCGAGGGGACCTGTGCGCTCGCGCGCGCACCTTCGTCCACTCCCGGCGAACAGACGGGGGCGCCTGGGCGAAATCGGAAGAGGGGAGAGAGGGGGGAGGGCGGGGGGGAGATGCGACGGCGCGAAGGCTGGCCAGACGAGCCGCGCTGTCGAGATCCACGATATCGTTGACCAAATTACGGCCTGCGATAAACCCGCGCTGGTTCGCCGCCCCTATTTCGTCGCTGCAGGGGCGATCGCTCGGTCGACAGTGGCGCCCCTAATCTTGCTCGCTGCGCATGGCCCAGCAGACGAGTGCCACGCGCCGCTCTCACCGGGCCCTCTCGCGATTCGGACTCGCCATCGATGCGCGCGGGGGGGGGGGGGGGCGGCCGGGGGGGCCGCGAAAGAAAGAGGCATGGCCAACCCTCGAAGGGCCCAGCGCATAACGTCGCAAAGGAGTTTAGCCCCGCGCCCGCGCCGCCAAGCACGCAAGAAGAGCCCTCCAGGCCCGGGCGCTCTGCTCAGCGCTCTCCAAGCGAACCTCTCCTCGGACCGACGCGTCGGAGGCGGGGCGATGCGTTGCCCAGACCCGCCCCGCAGCAGCGGCGCTCCAGGCACCGACCCCCCCCAGACGGAACGGGGCTGGACTTCTCGGAGACAGGGCCCCAATGCCTGGCCAGCGCCCCCACGGGCGCGGCTTGCCCCGAATGAGCAGCAACAGGCGGGGCAGCCTCGGCGTCGGCGGCCGCGACTGACGCAGAAAACTCACAGCGAGAAAATGGGTTCCATGGCTGAGCTCGACGACCTGCCGGCTGGTTCCCATCGCGGGCGCGACCGCGCCTCCAGGGGCAGTTTACTTCAGTCTCGGCATCGCTCTCCAACTGCTCGCGGCGCTTCGTGGCGCCCTGATGCTGAAGGCCCGAAATTAGATTAGTGAGCTTAACGGGGTCGCCATGGGCGACTTCCTCGTCTTCGGCGACCCGCAGGCGCGCGCGGGCCCGCGGACGCCCACCGCGAAGGGCGCGAGCGAGGCGGGCGCCCCGACGAGCGACGGCTCGCGCGACTGACCTGCAGACCATCAATCGGGATGCGAGGCGACGAGGGCGAGACTGGAGCTGAAGGCCTCTGGTGGTTGTACTTGGTTGCCGGCGACATGACGCAGCCATCTCGAAATGCTCGGGGGGCGCTAAAGTATTTACGTGGGCCTGCGCTTCACGTGCCTGGACCATCGCGGAAACGAGGGGATCGAAATAGAGTCGGGGCGGCAGGGGGCGGGGCCGGTGGGTCGATCAAGACGGCGCAGGTCGGCGGGCAGGCGCGGCACTGACCGGCGCGCGGTCGCTCACCCCTGCCGCGCGAAGCTCCTCGGGGTCGGTAAAGATGCGCGAGAATTGAAAGCCCTGACACAACGGCCACCGGGAAGAGGCAAGGAAGCGTCGATCGACCTTCGAGCAGGATCGGGCGCCCTGGTGCCAGCGCGTCGGAAAATCTCCAGGAGGCTCGGTGGGCATCCTGAAGACTGAGCGCCAGGCCCCATCCCCAGGTCGCCCGCCACGAGCCGAGACTCTGGAGGCCCCGGATTCTCGATCCCATCGCAAATAATGAATGCCCCCTGCAGCGGGGGGCCGAATTTAAGCGGCGCGCTCCGCGCCACTTCCGCCAAAGCCTCGATGCAATCGCGGAGCCGACAGATCTCGCCCAGACTCAACTCGAACTTGTTGACGTTCCAATGCCAGAGGCGGAAGCCCGAATATGCATTCGCGATCTCAAGCGCGAGGTTCAGCCCAGTTCAGTTCAGCCTGCGCGCCAGCTCGGGCAAAGCGGCCCCCGAGAGCCTGGCGGGGCACAAGTGCGCAGCGCGCGTGGGAAACTGCGCGCGCGGACAAGTGCTGCACGCGGCAACTGGTCGGACTAGACCGACGAGGAAGAGGGGGGGGGGGGGGGGGGGGGGGGGGGAGAGGAGGAAGAGGAGGAGGGGGAGGAGGAGGACCCTGCCACAAGCGCTTGCCCCACGAAGCTCAGATACAGAAATGGGGGCAGCAGGGAAGGAGAGGGCGGCGAGCGCAGCCACTCCTGCCGCGCGAAAGCCCTCTATATATGAAGCAAAGACTTGGTGCAGAAGACCGGCGCGCCGGGCAGCTTCCTTCACTGCCAGGGCGCCGCCGCGGGTCTTCTGAAGAACAAGCGCGGCGGTTGAGAAGAAGGAGGGCGAGGCAGCCAGATCGCTCAGTACCTGGAGGCGCCGAGCACGTCCATCTAAACGATAGTGCCGAAGGGCTCGGCAGTTCCACGTCGTAAATGTCGCAGGCGATGGCCCAAAGATGGCACTGCCCGCGCTGCCTGCGCTCTGGGGAAAGCCTGCTCGACGATTGCAGCCGCGCGGGCCCGCTCCAAGTTTGGGCCCGCCAGGCTCGCGAGATTCCAGCGGGCGCGAGGCGGGTCGGAGGGGCGCCCCCCATCTTCGCAATGGGCTGCGCTGCCTGAGGAGCGCCCCCGCCTGTCTGTCCACGAACGCATCCTCCTGCATGTTGATCGCGAGGGCGGTCTCGCGCTGCCTGCATGCCCGTTCCCTTGCAATGCCCTGCTTGGCATTGCCCAATCCTGCGAAGATCTCCACCATACGTTCGCCAGGAAGAGTTGTCCGATATCGCCTCCAGCTGCCGGGGCCGTCACGCAGGGAGGAATCGATCCTGCACTCGCGTCCTAGCTCGTAGCCGCGCGCCTCGAGTCAAGGCTGCAGCGAAGCCGCCAGCGCCGAGACCGAGATGGCCTCCTTCGCACTGATGGCGAAGATGAAATGGTCCTTGGGCCGATCCCAGTTGGCCGACCTGGCTACGGGCACAAGCGGCGCAGCGCGTGCCAAGTCGAATACCTTCTCCAGACGCTCCAACCTCGCGACCCAGTCTGACTGATTACGTTCAAGTTCAAGCTTCGGAACCTTCTCTACCGTCGCCGCCAGCTGCGCCATGATCGTGTCAAAGCAAGTGGCAGTCCTTGCATCGATGCCGTTCAGCAGGGACTTGGCGCAGCTGTAATTCGACTGGGGAAACAGTGCCTCGATCGATGACGCAACTCCCTTCGTGAACTCACGGATGCAGTCCACCTTGAACTTGCGGAAGTCTTCCGCCTGGATATCGCGAGCGACCTGGGCGACAGCAGGCCGCATCCACGGGTCAGTTCCCGCTCGTCCACCAGCCAATCCTGCAGGGGGGGAAGGCGCCGAGGGCCCAATCTCCTCTGCAGGCTCGCCCGCCCCACTCCAACGCCAGCGTCTAGCGAGATGATGATGATGAGACGGTGGCGTCGGCCAGGGCTGGGGCTGCGGAGCACCATGAGCCGCACTGTTTGCCAGAACGACGTTTGCAGCAACTCCCGCGACGGGAGCGTGGGGATGGTCTCGATGTCAGCGACGCCAGCGGCGCTGAGCGCGACAGCAGCGGCTTGAGCACGAGCTTTTCCGCCCAGCGGGGCAGGGGATCGACCATTTACGTCACTGTTCCATGCATGCCCGTTGGCCAGGCGTGAGATCATCCTTCTCGTGGCGGCCTCCCCACTTCGACGACGGGGAGAACGCGGTATGGCAAGAGGCGTGGTCACATGGGAGATAGCAAACATACCACCAGCAGAGACCATCGACTGAAAGCGAGCCTGGCCATGACGCCGCCTGGCAGGTGTGCCAGCATCACTCTTCGAGGTCATCTTTTTTATTTTGCCATCCTTATCGTCGTGTTGTTTGTCCTTCTTCTCAACTCGCTCAGGCATGCCACGGCAGAGAGTGCTGCGGGGGTCCAAGTCCCGCGGTGAAGACGCAAACGCAGTGAGCGGGGGCCGAACTCCTGCGGTGAAGGCCAAGCACTGCCAGGCTGCACAGCCTGACCAACCGCGGACTAGCGGTATCCACTTCTTGGCAGGGCCAGTTGGACCTCTTGAGCCAAAATGGCTTGAGCCAAAATGGCTACGGACCTCAGAAGGAGGAGGAGGAGGACGAGGAGGAGGAGGAGGAGGACCAGGAGGAGGAAGAGGAGGAGGAAGTGGAGAAGAGGGCGTGGCGGGGGAGGAGGAAGAGAAGCTGACGCCTCGGGCTGAGCTCCCCCGTGCTCAGCGAGACAACAAGACGCACCCTGCGGGCAGAAGGCTGATAAAGCAGCAGGCAGTACACAATGTCAACTCGTATGAATATGCGCTCACCGGGATCGGGATCATGTTGCCCACCACGCAGGTCAACATTACCTGAGGCCGTTTGCTGCGCACCAGGCAGAACCTCAGCCTTGGAAGGCCGATCTTTCCTTCCACTGGCGGCCGACGTCCTTCAGCCGCAGCCTCCGCCGTTTTGCTGCCACCGCATGCCGCCGGCCTTTCGCCGCCTTCCGCCGAGGACAAGATGATAAATGTTTCCTCGAAAGTGGGGCACTGTCTGGAGCGCCCTCGTTATGGCCAATGCAGTATACATACGAATATGCATGCATTGGCAGCGATGCGCATGTTCAAATGCGTATACACAAGACTATACGTAGACACATACACAAACATATACTTATACGTGTACAACCGCATAAGCCTACACAAGTACTGTATGCACTTGAATAGTTGCGCACGCATGCACACTTACATTTCAACATATGAACACGCGCTTCCAATCCGAACTTACTATACACATGCACAAGCACATACATCTATGCATGTACCCAATAAATCATTTGCACATATGTAAGAGAGAACTAGTGCACCTCTAAGTAGCCTTTTCTTTTCCCCCCCCCCGCGGCCGCCCGTTCGGCCCTTTTTCCCCACTCTTGCATTCTGGCCAATTCGCTGTTCAGTGCCCCAGTCTTGCCCAATGTTGCTGGTGCAGCCAACTCTGCCTCGCCGCCAGCGGAAAAATGTGTACATAGGTATGTACAGATGTATGTATGAATGTGTGAATATATGTGTGTGAGCATATACATATCCATGCGACTACACATATGCACATGCAGATACGCATGTTCCTATGGGTATTATATATACGCACATCGATCAGCAGATAGAGGGATAGAAGAAATGGCTTGACCGGCTCGATTCGCTTCACTGTTCAAATCGTGATAGCATGGCGCCAAAAAAGCGCTCCGCGACCACTGGTGCCTCCTGCGCTCCGGCCTGTTGGTACATGGGCCTCGCTGGGCTCGTAGGACCAATCGTTGCGATGGGACTGGCTGCTCCCATGTGCAAGCTCTCTGGTTGGGGATCGTAGCGCTCACGAGGCTTTTGATGTGCGGGAGACTCCTCACGTGGATCGTCGGGCTCATAAGCTCACCGTGGAAGGTCGTGTGGCTCATCGGGGTCATATGGCCTTGGGCGCAGATGGCTTATAGGGCGAACGAGGCTTCGGACACACGTGGCCAATAGTGCTTATGGAAGTCATTGGGCGCATCGCGAGGTTTCGTGTGGTTCATGGCGATCATGGTGTGTTGGGCGCATTTAGTTCGTAGGGCTCGTAAGGTTCATCGTGGGGGCTCGCGCGGTTCATGGGGTCTATGTTGCTGTGAGCGCACAAGGATATGAGGGCTCATGGGGCTCATGAGGCTTTGGACGCATATAGTTCATAGGGAACGTCGAGCTTGTAGGGCTTGAGTGGCACATGGTGCGTACAGGGCTCGGGGAGGGGGGCGGGCATAAAGCTCGTAGGGCTAACAGGATTCGCAAGAGTCACGGAACTCAAAGGGCACCACAAGGCTGAGGGGGCCCGTAGGGCATTATGGGATACACATGTGTGCGCACGCGTACAGGGATGCTTACATACATATGTGGATTTACGAATGTTTGGTATACATACACACACGCGCATGCAGATAACATTAAACATCTACATGTACGCATGCGCGTACATGTACACATACGTATACACATGCACACATACACGTACACATAAACATAGACATACCCGCAATTTGAGACATATGCACATAGTACACCAAATCATCAATATGAACATATACATGTGAATTGGAAGTGACGCTGATATAGGTCATATACATCTATATACCTATGCGTATACACACTCATAAACACTGGAGTCAGCATCCACCCTCTGCAACTACACATACGCATACACACGCCAAGCAACATACCAAATCACTTACAAAGACATGCCCATATAATCGTACAACATGCATGCACACATGCATCCATATACACGCGCATACACATATATACGCATTCATACACAAATACATGTACACCTACATGTACGTGTACGTATGCGTATACATATACACAGGCACACACACCAACATACAATATATATATATATATATATATATGTATATATATATATATATATATGTATGCACATGTGTGCACGTACGTATAGACATGGTCATCTTCACACATAAACAATAACATATATGTGTGTATATGTATATGTTCTATATGTATGTGTATTCGCATGCTCTATATGTATGGATAGGCACACACATAAACACTTCCATACACGTAGAACATACATATGCGTGTGCGCTATTGTACATATCTATGAACGTCTACAACCATTCATTTACATACATATACGTAACCATTTACAATTCACTGAACAAATACATACGTATGTACATAAGCATATATATATATACATATCCGTACTCGGGCGGACTCTCGGGCACCAGCCTTGCGAGATCGTCGATTTCCCAAAGCAGATCAACATCTATCTCTGTGTGATCTTGGCCCAAAGCCAACTGCAGAGATGGCGCCGCTCGATTTTGTTGCGGCGACCTCGCATATCGATCACATGACCGCGCAATTCTTAGACGCTCCACATGAAAAAGGGCTGGGGGGGGACCAGAATGGAGCCAAGATGGTGGGAAGCATGAGCACATCGGCACATGCGGTCGCGCGCGCATCGGCCACCTTCCGTCCGACCCCGCGCAGCGAGCACTAGGCGCGCCAGAGCAACCCATGCTTTGGCGGACTCTCGGGCGCCAGCCTTGATATGTCAAAAAGCCCTAAGCGCGACCCTGCTGGGACCCAACTGTCTGGGCTGAAGCCTGGTCCGCCTCTCGGCGCCCGTCTCATCTCATCTCACATCTGCATGATCTTGACCTAGAGCGAGTTGCAGAGACGATGCCGCTCTACTTTGTCGCGGCGACCTCGCGCGCCGATCACGTGACCAAAATTGCGCGCAACAATCCAACTCGCGAAAGTCAGCACTTGCCTTAGGTCACATATCTGGATAATGCTCGAACTTTCTTGGATTCGAAGAGCTTGCTTACATGCTTGCTCATGCGCTTGCACTGCCGGCCCACGCGCACCTTGGGGGCGTGGCTCGGCTATGTGAATCCAGAAACGCCTGGTGGAATCTCCCTCGATCCAGGCCCTGGCGCGGGCGCCGCGAAAAAACTGCAAACACCTCGGCCGCTACAGAGCGCGTGCTGCAAGAGGCTGAAGTCGAGATGGCTAAACCGAATCTTGGTCCGTTTTCGCCAGTGCCCCCCAAAAGCACAGAAATCTACGTCGATCTCCCAGACACCCCCAAGACCTGCTAGCGCTAGTGCCCAAGAAAGATGCCAAAGCCAGAGCGTGGCCGGGGCCTCCATAACCACGGGGACGCTGAGGGCCCCGCATAAGGTTAAAAGGCCAAAGCTGAAACAAGCCAGGAAGTCGCCTCTACTGATCTCAAAAGAGCCTGCTGCAATACGGCCTGGGACTCACACGGGCTGTTCAGCGACTCGAATGGGAGGAGGTCCACTGGGCCTTTCACGGGCTCTCGATAGCGACTGACACGGAGCGGCTACCCATGCAGATGGCATCAACCTGCCTCGAATCCAACCTCGACTGCGACGCTGAAAATGCCCGCTGAGAACATGCGCGGCGGCGTCGCGGATAATGTCAAGCTCGAGGGCAGCCGTCGAACCTCTGAACGAAAGACGCCAAGCTCGAGACTGATTGCCGCTGCCGGGGAACACGTCCTGCATCGCTGGGCGGCCTCTGGCCGCGACGAAGGCAGCTTGGTCGCCAACTGCGGCCAGTGCTCGGCGGGCCAGGTCCCGCGCGGCGGCCGGGGGGGAGCTCGGCTGCACCTGGATTCGCCCTCCTTTGGCGCGCTTGGTCCGCGGCCCACCTCCCCCGCATCTTCACCCCGCCCTGGGCGCGAGCCTCGGCCGGCGGCCCGCGCCGCGCGCCGCCGCGGCGCAGCTGGCGGGGGGCGATCGCCCCCAGCCCCCGCAGCCCGCCTGCCCGAGCAGCCACCTGGAACATGGCGCCCCACGCGTTGTGCGCCACGTCGAACAATGGCTGCCCTGGCGAACGGACCCCGACGAGCTCCTCCAGCGGGCCCGAGCGCCACGGGGAGGCTGGGCTGTCGATCGGCAGCGAATCGTCGCACGCGCCCGTCTTGCCGGCAAACCCCCGCTCGCGCGGGCGCAGCGCCGCGCCCCGGCCAGATGCCCCGGGGCCCGCCGCGCAACGCGGACAGCGTGATCAGGCTAACGGCAGTCAGCCGCAGCGCCTCGGACGGCCGAAGGTAGAGCGCGAACGCCAACGCAGTCGGGGCGGCGATCTCGGTCTCGCCAGCGCCCGCCAGCGCCCGGATGACGAGGCAGAGCGCCGCCCAGGGGAGCGGCGGCCTTGACCTGGGCGGAGCCAGACGCCGCCAGCCTCTCGCAGCTCGGACGGCACGCGGAGGGGTGACATACTTCACGCCGAACGCAATGCCGGCGCAGGCCATCGCGGCAAACCGCTTCCAGGCGCCCGCGCTCTCTCCGCCCTCCAGGCGCTGTTCGTGGAAGTACGCGGCCAGGGCAGCATCCAGCGACGCAACTGGAGACGGCGCGAGGGTCATCATCTGGAACCAAGTTGCGAACATCTGCCCTCGACGGCGGCGCTCTCGCCTCGTCGGCACCGAGCCAGACTCCGTCTCCGAGAAGATCTGAGTCTGGTTGACGGTCGGAATGATCTCGCCGCCGACCCTCTGACGCCTCTCGAGCCGTCTCACAGCTCGACGGTCGCTCTCTACCCCGGGCGGCCGAGGTGCCCTCGAACGGGCCGCGGCCGAGGCCCAGCGGGAGCTCGAGGCTCGAGGCCTGGCGGCGGCGCGCGGGCGGCCCCCGAGAGGCCCGCGGGGCTGCCCGCGCGCCGCCAGACGGAGCGGCGCGGCCCCGGCCATCTGCGGCCGCGGCTCGGTCAGCCCAGGCGGGACTCGATTCGCCGGGTCAGCGCCGTTGCGCCCCGAAGGCGCCCGGCGCCAGGCGACCCCGCAGCCG